TGCTTTCTTCATTATGTCATTTAGGAAACCTTCTATGAATTCCTCATTTAAATTAAATCTTCCAATCTTCAAAACTTTAGGAAATGCATTTAATGCGTAATATCTTTGTTCTTCTGGTGGAATTGATGTTATATCATCCGTTATTCCTTTAATTTTTGAATTCATAAATAAAATTTCTTTTATATTTGATATCACTGCACCACCTTTGCAAACGAATTCGAAATGGTCATTTTTCAATACTATCTCCAAATCTCCATATTTCAACATTTGCGTTTGTTCTGCCGTCTTTGAATTATATGCATATATGGCGTATGTAATGGTCTGTGGTTGCTGTTGTTTAATCATTTATTACGATTTAAAAATAAATATTTAATCTGTTATCTCATCAGCTATTTTTTCTATTTGAAATTGCCATAATATTTCATTCATGAATTCTAAATCACAATCAAATAGGTCAGTTATTCTAAATTTAATATTTGATAAATCTTTTGAATGAAGAATAAATGAATTCCCAGATAATTGAAACGGATATGATAAAGAAAATGTGTTTAAGTTGATGGATAAAATGTTTTGTATTGATGGGTAAGAGTTAGGGTCTAATGTTTGATGTGAAAATCTCATTGGGGTATTAACTTTATCACATTTGATTAAAATGAAATTGGAACCGGTGTCAGAATACAAAACATCCCCAACATCTTTTTCAAAATTTAATATCCCCAACAATGAACGAAGATGAGGAGTACAAAATTTAATTTTCAGCGGAAATTTAATAAGGTTATTTATTTCATCAAGTTCAAAAAGTTTATCAGGTTTTGATTTAAAATTTTCTTCATACCATACGATAAATGATTCATTTAAATAACTTAAAATCGTGTTAATATCCCATTTCGTTATCACATTATTTATATACATATCATACGTTTTTAGGTCTACGACCCCGCCGCTATGCGGCTCATGGTCATCTTTAATAAATGATATATAATCTGAAGGGTTTAAAAGAATGGGATTAAATTTACCACTCACAGAAACGAGAGTAACATTATAAATTCCACTAACTGTTAAATTTAATTCACAGTTATTATTCGAAATAATATTGATAATTGACATTTTTTTATTACGATTAAAAATATGGTAAAGCGTTATTTTCCAGTGATAAATAAAACTAGAATAAGATTACCTCAAGAATTCATAAATTCAACGAATAAGAAATTCATTCATGTTATAAATTTAGTGTTTTCAGAAAATATGAGTCAATGTCATATTCATCATCAGGTTATATTTCACTTCATTCAAATTTAGTTCAATCAAACCCATATAATGACCATTTCATAAGATTTTCAGATGGTATTAAAAATGTAATTGATAGATTAAAATATGAACAGATTGACAATATCGAATTTTTGGAATTTTGGTTTAAATATCCCGATGGAAAAAAGATTGAAGTTAAAGATAAAGCAGATACTATAACAAAAACAATTACAATGACCGATCCAGATAGTGGGGAACAAAAAGAAATAAAACAAACGATAGAAACTGGTGAAAGGTCAATTATTATTGATTATGATTCAAAGGATTATTATTCAATAATGTTAATGCTTGAATATTAAATAGCCTTAACAAAGAATTTTTCAAGTGATATTTTATATTCATCAACTATTTTATTATAAATATCATTATAAGTTAAATGAAGTTCAGTTGTTGTTCCGTTCTTTGATATCTTAATTGTGCTAATATCCTTTATAGGATTTATTTTTGCAACTGTTCCGCAGCATGAAACCTCATCATCTATGAAAAATTGAATCTTAACGTCTGAATCTTGAACATCACAAAGAATGGCAATAATGTGAATTAATGATTCATAAGGTAAAATAATTAAACCGGATTGGTCAATTAAATTTATTATTGAATCATAATTATCAGTTATTATATCACGGTAAATTTTCATTAATTCAGAATTAATGTCTATTTTATATGGCGCATTGCGACTGGAATCGTAGATTCCTGGGTTCTCGATGTTTGATGAAAGAGGTGGGGGGTATGTTGGATAAGTGGGAATTTCAACAGGTTCTTTACCGGGTTCAGATAAAATGATTGGGTCTCCATTCTCATGGTTTTCTTCATTCTCCTCATTCTTCGGTAAGTCACGAGTTAATAAATTTGGTTGAGTTGCTGACCTTGTTAATTCAGGGCTAACATTAACTTTAACATTTTGAATAATTCGTGATTTATCATCATTTACGTTATAACCAACCGTAATCTCTGCTTTTGCGTTAGTGTTCTTTTGATTAGTGAAACGTCTTCTCATTTATATTCGAATAAAAAAAATATATTTAAACTTTTATTTTGCTGGAACTTTTGAATCTATTATTCCCTGTATTTGTTCATGAAGTTGATTTTTAGCATTTTCATCGAAATTAATAGACCGAATATATTCATTAATTGCATTCTTATAATCATCTGATTTCTCAAATTTTCTTTTATCTGATTCCTTAACTAAATCATAAGTTAAACCTCGTTGCTGATATAATGGTTTCTTAATTAAATCTTTGAATGCTTGAGATAAAGCACCTGATGCAATTCTTGCTACTGTAATTGGTTGGAATTGTTGTTTAAGTTCATCTTTAACATTTGCGAAAACTGGATCGAATAAAGAAACTTTAAAGAATTTCTTAGCTGAAATTTCAGGTCTAATATTTGCATATTGACCATCAAACTGGTTAGAATATCGTGGTAATCCATCTGGTCCCTCTTCAATAGCATTTAATTCTTCATTGAAGTAAGAATATGGATTATGACGGTATAAATTAATTGGACCATGTTCACCTTCTCCAATGTATTGTTTAACAGCTTTTCCATTTTCATCAAATTGCATAGGATAACGTTCATTATATGCTTTACGTTTAGGATAATCAGACATAGTTAATTTATAACCATTTATGACTTTAATATTTCCTTGACCATCAGTAACGAAAACTTCATTTATACCATCAGGTTTTCCATTTGGACCCGTAATGTCTGCTTCGTGTGCTTCCCAATTTGGACCATGACGTTTGGCATATGCTTGAGCTTCTGGTAATGTTAAAACGTTTCTCATTTGTTTAACATCTTTTTGAAGACCAGCAACAATATGAACTAATTCTTTCATTCCATCAGGAACTTTCATAGTTCTATTATATGCACCCTTTTTGTTTGTTCCTTGTTTTAATGGAACCTGTAGAAGATTTGCTATTTCTGTCATGTTTAATTATAAATAAAAAATAAAAATTAATTATAAAAAGTTAATCAAATTTAACACTTCCTTTATTTAAATCAACTATTATTTTTCCATGTTCTCCTAATTGCTGATATTGTGTGTAAAGTTCATTAATGCTCATTGGTAAATTCACTTGATAAAGCATAACGTTCAACTGTTGACGACTAAACCCACTGAAAATGAAAAGTGTTGATATATTTGATTTAATGTTTGTGCTTAATGCTTTGAAGTATTGAACAGCCATAAAGAATGAACACTGAATGTGTCGACATTGAGTTAATAACTGATTAAAATATGATTTCTCATTTGTTATTAGTTTTGATTTCACTGCATCATCTAGAAAAATGAGTGAATGCAAAAATTCTCTATCAAAATTTGAAATAGAAAGTGTTTCAAATAATTCATCCCGTTGTTTATCAATAATTTTATCCTCTAATCCTTGCTTCTTGATTGTATTATATAATTCTTTATACATTAAAAAGTTTTTTAAATAATCTTCTGCTTCTTCTTGAGATAAATAAATAATTGGAATTTTGATTAAATGCTTTAAAGATTCAAATGTATCATCTGAAGGTGAACCTGAACGGTTGATATAAATTAACACATGTGAATGGGGGGAAGTGTTAGCAATAATGATAATTTGTTTTAATATCGTTAATGTTTTGCCTTTATTTTGTTTACCAATTGCTGCAGTGATTGAATTTAAGTAACATTCAGAATATGGAATTTTCATTAATTTTTCCTTAGATAGAGCATTTCTATTATCACTCAATGCTTCATTAATCATATCATCTACGTATGTATTATATACTCCTGCTAATTCTTCATAAGGGGTGGATGAATTTAAATCCATTTAATCAAAAATAAATTTATAATTTTAAACATTTCTATTCATCAATATTTCATCATATGAACTTCTATACTGTGGTGGTGTTCCTGTTGGATGATATTTCAAACCTTCATCCGGTGTCCATGTCCAATATGTAGTCCTAGTAAACCAAACCTGAGGAGGATTTGTCACCTTTGAACAGTAAGTGTCATTTACACCCTGAATGATTGGATAAGCTTTCACTTGTACTGTAACTTGTGAGTTAAAAGTTTCTAATCCATCAAAGAATATACCCGCTCCATCACGTTGAACTGGAATAGTGCATAAGAATGAGGTTTGGTCTTTCCATGTTCTAGCTAATGGCACGCCATCATCATCATTCAGTGGTCTAGTTAATGAGTCCTCGTATTCTTCCGTGCATTCATTCACTCCATCTAAATCAGAAGCTTGAAGCATACGTGTAAAGAATATGTCGCCCACTGTTGTCATCGCTTGATCGGGGAAGTTTCTGGAATCTATAGTGACCTGAAGACCTCGAAGCATTGGATTTTCTAAAACCGTTCTTTGCATTGCATTCTTCGGAAATGCTAACACAACATCTGTAACATTATGAAGAGCGTATGAGAAATCTGAACTGATACCTTCAGGAGTGATGCAACCTCCATTTAGTGAACGAACGTCAATATGTTGAGCTGGAATCATGAATGGATCTTCCTTACTGAATAAACGTGGTATTGCTTTAACTGATTCTTCAATTAAACCGTATCCTGGTGTAATGCATTTATCCTCTAAAACTTCCATCTTTGTGCATGAAATAATAACGTCTTCAACTGTTGCGTCAGCAGATGTAGCGGCTAAGCCTGTAATTAATTTGGCAGGAAGTCCGATTTGTTGGAATTTGCGATCATATTTATAAACATGATTCATAATCTTTTCATAATTTTCATCAGTTATCTTTTCATAAACGTAATTTTGTAAATCAGCAACTCTTAACGGGTCAACCTGACAAAATACTAAAGTATCCCTGAAAACATAATATTTAAGAATGATATCACCAAATGATTTAGGATAATCATCGAACGCCTGAAATGCTAACAAATCATTTATCGGAATAATCATATCAAAAATGACATCAACTTCTTCATTTGCTTTCTTGAAAACTTCTGAAGGGTCAACATATTTACCACATACTGAGTTATCATATTTTTGAACATTATTATATAACGAATGAACAAACTTTTTAACTTTCCTTTCTGATTTTGGTTTATATGTTGCAAATGCGAAAGATTCACGGGCGCAATCCATCTGAAGATAACCGACATCACCTCTTTCACTTTCTGCTTCTAATTGTTTAAAGCTTTGATTTGATGATTTGTAACCAACGAATAAACGCATGCATTTAAAAGCGGCATCACATGTGAAAGCTTTATTTGAAACTAGAGTTGCTTTAACTTTGCGTTTAATATATGTGTCACCTAATTGGTTCACATCATGAGCCGGATTTGTAATTCTTAAATGAGTTTGTTTATCATCAAAATATGGAGCATCAGAGTCATAGCATGAACTTTCAAGTTCTCTATAATATCTTCTTCCATCATTCTTTGCGAATATTTCATTTATCTTTTCGAATGAATGAAATACATTTCCATTAATCGGTTTAGTGTTTGGCACTAAATAGTTAGTCGTCATTTATTATTAAATAAAAAATCAAAATTAAAAGATGAAAATGAATTTTTAATTTTAATGAAATAATCAACTATGGCTGCAGGATTCTTTAAGAAACTGTGGGATAAAGTAAAAAGAGGAGCGCATAAAGTTTGGGAAGGGATTAAGAAAGGAGCAAATTGGATATTTAAGAATAAAGAAGCAATTAGTGACGTTGCTGAACAAATAGCACCTAATGTTCCGGTAAGGGAAGTATTAAATAAAGGAGATAAGGTTTATCGTCGACTACAACCGATACTAAGATAAAAATAATATTTATTTATTTTTCCACTATCTACCCCCTATTTTATTAAGTATTCCTTCAGCAATTCCACCAACTGCGTTACCTGCTTGTGCTCCCATCGCCGGATTACCTGCTTTAGCACCTAATACTCCTCCTATGATAGTTCCTGCCGTTTTCGCTACTGGTGCCAAAAAGTTTGCAACGGGTTTAATAATCTTTTGATGAACCCAACTTGCAGCTTTCTTAATTCCTTCCCATAATTTTTTAAAGAATCCTGCCGCCATCTCTGATTTAATATTAATTAAAAAATATATTTCATCACTTATATTCTAATTTTTTATTTAATGATAAATGAAACCGATTTTAAAAATAAATGAAACAGAGGAGGAAGAAATAAATGAAAGTGAAAATGTTCAACAAAAAATAAACGTTGTTAAACCAATTACTGAAATAAAAATTTTTTCATCTGTTGATGAATTTAATGACTATTATGCTAATAATAAAAAATTATTTGAAGAATTGACAACATGTAAATTGAATAAAATGTTTAAAGTTGAGGACAGAGTCCAAGACCCGGAGGGTCATGGATTCAAAATTTCAAAAATAAAAGGTGTTGTTAGTTTAAAATCTATTCCTCAATCAAGAATCACCTCATTAATGAAAATTGATGATTTAACAAAAAGAATAGAAATTATTGAAGAGCGAATAAATCAAATTATTGATTTCATAAATTCAAATAATCATTAGTTTCCATTTCTTTTTCTCGTTTATTTTTCATTCATGAATGATAATTATATCTGATTTCTTTTACTCTCTCATACATACTAGATTTGAAGAATTCGGAACTTTTACCATAATCTCCTAAATGTTTTCTAATCCCTAACGTGTGCCAGTTATTATATGAAACTGTATAAACTTTATCTTTATCTTTGCATCTTTCATCACTTCCAATATATTTATATCTCAGTTTTGATTTAGCATTTTCATATTCATTAGCGTTTAATAATTCGCAGTCTTCCTTTTTAAATTGATGTTTAAGATATTCAGGATTTAATACTCTACGTTTATATGCTCCTAACTTAGTTCTAAAGGTTTTTCTACAAAATTTAGGAATTCCATCCTCTTTAATGTCATCAATGATTTCCATTTCATTATTTTCAATTTCTTCTTCTCGTTTATGAGGTCTTTGATTATGACTCCATTGATTCCATGAAATTAAATATTCTTTATCATTATATTTATACCTCATTAGCTTATTTTGGCTTTCATATTCATTTAATAATTCACAATCTTCATTTTTAAATTGAAGTTTAACCCATTCAGGATTTAAACAATGTTTAATTAATCGCGGAATATCTGACATCATCTATATATAGTTTCTTTTATAAAAGATAAAAAAATAAATTATTTTAAAATTAATGTTAATTCTTTAATGATTTATAAATAAATATATTTTAATGCATCGTCTATATATAGATGTAACAAAAAAAGTCACTAAACCCGCACTCATCTACTACTAAGTAATCATAAAATTCCCCATGAGCAAATTGAAAAATTATTCGCATTTTGGACGGATCTTGCCTACGGCCAAATGCAAACAATTTCTTTCATAGTTTGCAAATTCTAATTTTTATCAACGTTAAAAATTATGAAAATTTAAATATCGAAAAAGGTGTAAGTTTGACTATCATTAATGAATTCAATTTAAAGTATTGACGTTTCTAATTTTGCAATTGAGTCAAAAGACAAATACAGATTTTTGAATTAAACCGAAATGATCCAGAAGACTATTGAAAAGTATTCAATTTTTTGGGAAAGTACCACCGATTTTCCTACACAACATTATGTTGTGAATATCATGCTTGTGACTCACCCTATTTTCAACATAATTTAATAGCATATGGCAGGCTATATTGACTCATTCTTTTAAATTGAAATTTACTGCCTTAAGTCACAAAATGATTGATGTTATCTAGCTGATTTATGGATATTTATCAAGCGTTATTAAAATACCATTTTTTAATAGAATAAAACCCAGAGTAATTCATTAAAAGAAACTTTGGGAGAATTGAAATCTTAATTATAAAGTGGGCATAATGTGAAATGAAAGCATTGCTATCAAAGGTAATGAAAATATTACAGTATATAATACAATATTTTTTTATATAATAACATAATAAATAACAATTTTTAAAATATCACCGCTTTTTTCTTTTCTTGCAAAGCTGTGGGAGTTCATTCTTCTTGAAATTTGTCTTTTCAATGTCCAAAACATAATTTGGATCATATAAAAACTGAAGTCGTGAATCTTTTGGAACTAAATCTAATTGTGGAGCTGCTGGAGTATTTAAAAAGTCTCCGGAAGGTAATGGCTTCTTGCAATAATGCGTCCAAAAGAGATAATTAGGGTCTGTATATGGATATTTGTTGTATTCTTGGTGGGAAAACGAGTGAAACTTCTTCAGATATGTTTCAATATCTTTGAAACAATATGAACAATGTGTTCCTAACACATGGTTCGTAATTAATCGATAAGAATTCCTAGTATCTGACATTAATTCTTTTGATATCGAATTCCTATAGCGAAAAACAGCAGGAAAGCTCCACTTATTTGTTTTAAGACTATTATAGTTGTGGTTATAAAAATCACAATGGAAATTATAATAAATATCTGGAGGAGGGTTCTGAATGATGAATTCCATTCCAAAAATTGTTGGAATCTCATCAACATCACTTACTAACATCAGATCTCCTGCGGTTATGTTTAAACTTTTTGTAAAATTTAAAATACTATTTCTTTGTATTCTTTCTCTCTCCCAATTACCAATATCAGCAGGGAGATTTCCTTGAAAAAAGTGAATCTTATCACCTAATGCTTGAATTTCTTTTTCAAATGGATATATAGTGATATTATTTTGTTTTGAGGTAAAAGTTGAGGAAGAAGAAACTACAACGAAGTGATCAACATAAGGCTGTAATCTCCAAATCCTTGTATATAGCATTTCGGACTCACTGTTATAAAGAAAACAATCGAAAATCTTGAGTTTTTTGCCTATTCTATATTGAACACTAATTGGTGCATCAACATATGTATTTACAGAAGCGTATTTAAATACGAACGCAACGAAAAAACACAAAGTTCAATATCAAGCCAAAATATTGCATAAATTGACAAAAATCATCGAATTATTTGACGAATATTTTCAATTCAATTTAGTTTATTTTGGATAAATATATGATCTCCATATAGGATAGCTATGCATTCGAAACCTCATATACATAACTAAACACATACTCTTGACATATCATTTAGTGAGTAAGTTTATTTTAAATCTAATGGATTCAAAAATTATTTTTCAATAATATTTTGGATGAAAAGAAAACTCCAAATTTTCATGCATATTATAGGTAAATGTTCAAAAATACCTGAAAGAATATGGTTAATTCAATATTTTGTGAGAACTTCCAATTTGGTGTCATGAGCTAAGGTTAAAATTAAAAATTCAACGTCTAACTAAGGAAAAAAATATTATTGATGAAAAACAAAGCGCAAACTTAAAGACGATTATTTGGTAATGTTATGATTCATGTTCTGCTATATAATACATTTTTCATATAATTGCTTTTTTAAAATAAATGAAAAATATTTCGAATATTTTAAATTGATATTGGTAAGTTATTATGAAGGAATTAATTGATATCACTATTTTAGAGAATTATCTTCATAGAGAAAACTCCGTTCAACGAATACCCTCTATTTCCAGGAATTACCATTTAAGGTTATTTTTTGCATCAAAAAAATTCAATTTTAGCATGATTGAAGTATTATTTTAAAAAAATAACAATAAAATATTAATTTATACAACAGTGTTATATATCCCTTACATTTTTGTGGCAAATGGAGAGGGTAACGGCGTCGAAATTGCATAATTTCAAATCTCCTTATCTCAATGAATACAAGAGGGATGGGACTGAAATTAGGCTATTTTAATAGGTATGAGGTATCAAACATTTTCACTGATGAAAAATTGAAAAAGCTGATTTCAGCTTTCTAATCATACCTTATATATGAGGTATCATATCAAAATACTGATATGTTATTACTTATGGGGCCACCTGAATGTTCTCACAATTTGTTTGTATAGATATAAAAATAATTATATTAAATTTAAATTAAGTCTTTTATTCCTAAAATGAATACTTTTTGACATTTTTAGAACTTTTATATTATGAAGTGAATAATACCAATTGTAGAAATGATAAGGATAAGAAATTGATTACTAAAACAATAGTATTTCAAAGTGTTATGATGTTTAATGTATTTACATAGATATGGATAAACGAAAAATATATTTTAATCAGAATAAATTGAAAAAGCTATTTCAATCTTTTGCAAGGAAAAGGCAAATGCGCATGCATTTACTAAAAGAATGGAGTATTAATGATATAATCAACAAATCCTGCATTTATTTTGATAAATGTTCATTTTTTAAAATTTTGACGAGTTCAAGGTCTTGTTTCGGTTCGAATTCGTGAAAAATGAATATTTTCAAAATTTGATAAATGATATAATATAAGCATCCAAATAGAATGCATCTATTATACTTTTTATTGATTTATTTCTATTTTATTGGGATAATCAGATTTTCCTTTGAGTGTGAATGATATACTTTTGTCACAGCACTAAATCATATAAAATGTGCTGAATTTGTTTCCGCTGTTTATTTTCAATCTAATCTATTCTAATAGTAGTTTTCGTGCGTTCGAAGTTTCAACAAAAAAGTCTATGAATACTCAAAATAATTGATTTTTATATCATTAAATACTATTTTTAATGGAGAACAAAGCATATTTTAACGTCAGCCAGGAATTACCGTTTTACCAATATTTTTGTTTTTGAGCAAAAATTTTATCATAAAAACACTCTTTATATCATAAAAATGCTATATTATAAAAATCAAAAAATTCAACTTGCAATCAAATCATATTAAACATCTTTTCTATCATATCCTCTTTTAAAAAGCTTTGAAAATGTCTATATATGTCGAGATATAGAAGCTTTTTTAGAAGGTGGAAAAAAGTGACGGTAATTCCTGGAAATAGAGGGTACATTTGATGTTGAAGCTTTGAATTTTTGAACGACCAATATAAAAAATAACCAATGCCTATTGAATTTTTCAAAAGTATTATATTATGATAAATTGTTATATCATCAGGTCTGTAATAATTTTGCACTTTTTCAGATTTGGATTGAGAAATTCTAGGCTGAATTATAGGAACATGTTGTGTAATATTCAAAGGTATATAGTTTATGTAACTTTTAAAATCAGATTATTTTTGAATGAAATGAATCCTTTGTAAACTTCTCAATAGTCTTTTTAAATCCCAGAAGGTACTGCAATGAAGATTACCATGATAAAAATTAAACTTCAATATAATTTTGAATCTTCCCTTTTTTAACGATAATGATTTTGAATGTCTGGGCTGGCAAATGACATTAATTTTCTATAAACTATTCAAAAATATTGTAACTTCCAAAATATTTCATTGTTATGCTGTTAATTCTCGCTCTCTTTTCCCTAGCTAATAGCTATGAAGAAGATTACTTCATGGAGGAGAATGGCTTAAGAAAGAAACTCAAAAAAGCTTTCATGAAAGCCGGACATGCAGTTCACAAAGTTGGGCACGCTGTTCATAAGATCACCAAACCAATTACAAGACCAATTCAAAAGATAACAAAGCCAATTGTGAAACCAGTTCGTAAGCTTGTGAGACCAATTAGAAAGTGGATTCACGATAGAGACCAGAAGGAAACAACTGAGCCCGTCAGAGTAATTAGGTTCAACCCTACAAATCTTGAAAGAGATTACAAGACAAGGAACCTTGAATCCCTTATCCAACAAATTGCCAATGAGTTCCATCTTGACGTACAGAAAGTTGCCATGTTCTTCAGACTTAACAAATGGTCACTTTATTCAAAGAAATTGTTCAACAGAATTGATTTTGGCCAAGTTCAGGACAAAGATCAGAGATCTGCTTATCTTGGTGGCACAATCATCAAAATTACAAAGTCTAATGGCGAATACACAGTCAACTGCCGCCAGGCAGCCGTTTCTGCTCTTATCCAAGCCACACGCACACAACATAGATACAGGAGACTTTTGGGCCATTCTCGCAGACATCACGATGTAGAATGGCGTGCACTTACAGCTAGTGAGATCCAGCAGGTCTACAACGAGTGCAACAACCAAATTGTAGGCCGCCTCAACGCTTATAAGAACATTTAAGAAAGATATTTTTAAAGATATCTTATAAAAGACTTCAGTAATAAATCATAAAGTTTCGAATGAAACCTGTGATATATTTAGTTGAAATATATTTTTAATTTTATGCTTAAATAATGAAAAACTGAATTTTAAAAAATTAAGATTCATTTCAACGATGTTGTGAAATACATGGAATACAATATCAAGACAGAGAAGTTACAGCATTTTCAACTTTAAATTATGATATTTGTCTAAAATAAAAGATATTATTTTTCAAAGTTGACCATTTTAAAACAATTTTTATGCCCAACTTCAACAATTGATAGAATATTTTTGTTCAGTGATAATATCCTAGCTTAACTCAAAGGTTGAGTTTCATTTGTAGTAAAATTCCATATAATTTTGAACATAAAAGTTGCACATTGTACTAATTGAGCAGAATATTGGATTCGGCTACTTAATCAATTGAAGAATTGATAATTAATTGATAATTTGATACAAAATTCCATGTTTCATTATAATTGATTGATAAAATCACACTGATTATATGTGGACAGTAGAATGATATCATCATGCAATCTTGGCTTCAATGCTCAAACTTTTGATAAAAAAATTGTGATAGCGTCAAACCGATTTAGTATTTGTAAATTATATTGATTCATGTGTACAGTGAGATTTCATACAGATACAATTCAATAATTCACTTTTTGATAATCTTGGTTGTCAAATGACATTATATTTTCAAAATTGTCGTCAAATGACATTATTTTATATTAGTTCAAGAGCAATTAATCTTTGCCTGTAGTCAACATAGTTCGATCCCACTGAAGCAAGATAACAAATAGAAGAAAGCTCATTCAACACAACATTAAAACAACTTTTTCCAATCTAAACTATAAATCTAGTTGGACAGATCCTTTTCAGCATGCAAAACTTGAAAATAGCACCCATTCAATTTCTTTTGTTTGAGCATAGCTCAAGCCACAAACAATCTTCCCATCGATTTGAATATAGCTTTACAGTACTTCATACGTCTAGTCTGATCAATTCTTTTCAAGTTTGAATCATTAAAAATCGATAAATCACAGAAGAAAACTTGTTTATTAATCAAAATTATATATCATCAATATAAATTGAAGAATATGCATTCACATTAAGATAAAATGATATTTTCACTGTTTGCCAAGTGATTCAATGACCAATAAAATGAATTTTGATTATTCAATCAGAAGATTCATGAACTGTTATTTACATGAACTCACATTCATGCGTAAAATATATTTGCATGATAAAGTAATCAACAAAAGGAACAAATTATTATTTTTATAGAATAATACGTATTTGAAAGAATGACTATTAGGATCACAAGCTACAGATACTTGATATCTATGCTGCAATACTAATTAAGATTTCGAACAACACATTCTGGAAATTTATTATTTCCCTGAAATTTTGACAAGAATTCATATTCCCGAACAGATTACATGGCCACAAAGTAGAGTTCGATGATATTACCAAAGAAAAATTCCGAAATCAAAATAATCGGATTTTTATATCCAAAAATTTTTTCAAGTAATCTCAATCGAAATGACCAAAGACGATTTAAAAGTCAAATTTTTAAATTGAAAAATGAGATCATATTATAAAAAAATTTATAATATTGAAATTAGATGGTCTTGTATTGGTTAAGTTGGCCAGAGATCTGGTTGTTGCACTCGTTGTAGATGTCTGTGAGCTCATTGCCATCAAGTGGACGCCATGAAGCACTTGTGCGGGTATGGCCGCTGAAGAAGTGGTGGCTTGATGTCTTTGTGATGACCTTAGCCTCGATTGTAGCTCTGGCAGCGATCTGGCGAGCGATTACGGAGAAACCACCATCAACCTTAGAAACCTTAACGACTGTAGCGCCGAGGTTAGCGAATCTGTGATCGCGGTCAGCAAGCTTGCCGAAGTCCATCTTGTTGAAGAGCTGCTTGGAGTTCTGCTGGAATTTGGCACGGTTGAAGAAGTTTTGGACCTTGCCGGAATCAAGTCCGAATGTGTTGGCAAGATCTCCTGTGACCTTGTTGAGATCATCGGTTTGCCAATTCTTTTCATTATTTGTGATATCGAAGTTTGTGATCTTGGCAGCCTCTTTCCAGATTGACTCGGAGCCGTGGTAAACAAAGCGCTGGATTGGGCGAACAATTGTCTTCTTGAGGGCGTGTGTAACAGAATGTGTTACTTTATGAACAACATGAGAGATTGGTTTAACAAGATGCTTTAAGTGCTTCTTGATGTGCCATCTGTTTTCTTCCATAGCAACATCGCTAAATTGCTGGGAAACAGCAAAGAGAGCTAAGAGAAACAGCATTAAAAATTTTAGGAAAAAATTTTTTTGAATTGATTACGATGAAAATTACCTGGCATTTGACAGCAAAACGTGGCAAACCGTAATCCATTTTGTAATTTTCAGTAAAGATCATGATGTATTTTCTATACTGGATGCTTTAAACGATAATAACTCATTTAAAAAGAGAATTGTGAGCATTTTACGGTTTTATAAGAGTTTTCTTTTTGATGTTCTTTTTACATATTATGATTTTATTTTGTTATGTTAAAAACCACGGTTAGGTTAAAATAAAAGTGACGATTTTTACCTGAAGGCATGCACATTTTATGTTAAATTTGTATATGTATCTAGATTTACAATTGATCTTTCTAAATTTTTTTTTGATTAATTCCCATTTTTTGTTTTTCTCCAAAACAATTGTTTTTATTTTTGTCTTTTATCAATAAACATTTGCTGTCCAGTGGTTGTTTGTTTAAATAATGATATTAAAACAGAATTGTGTTAGTAATCAATTACATCAAGGAGAGAATTAGTAATACATCGCCTTATATTATGTTACTTAATGATAAATAGAAAGATTTCAATAACTTGTATTGCACAATTTAAAATCAAAATTATGCTCATTAATGAATTTCTTTGTTACCATGAAATTATTTTTGGATAAGATTTAAAAATACAACATTGCTTAATATTCCAAGTATTTTCCTTCAATGTAAAGGCAAATTTTGTTCTATTTCTCATAAATGACCTAAAAATTTTAAAATCAAATCAATGAACTTCTCACTCAAATAAAATCCAGATTTCTCAAGAAGAAGTTTCGACTTATGATATATGCTTGACATTAGTGTGTATGTTTTGATAGGCCTGATGAAATTGAGACTAAAACTTGCCAATGCGCAGTTTCTAAAACTTTAGTTTTCAAAGCTGGGGCTCCAAATGATATGTGGAAAGACAGCATTGGTCCACTGGTAAATATGCATCACAAATAACATAGTATTAACTATCCCGTCAGATCTTTCCTTTCTTTCGTCAGAATTTGGAGTGATCCTCCTATCAAGTTTCAAAAGAAAGCCTGAAATTCATTCAGATACCAACATGTTTTATTACGCAATCCATAAATAGTGATGCAGCTGAAACTTAAAATTAAAAAACTAAAATTGAATGTGCATTGACATTTTTTACCAAGGTTTCTTTTAATGAATTACTCTGTCTTTTAAACAACTAACAAAACCGGAATGAAATTTCCTTGAAAAAATCGGATTCAAATAATTTAAATATATAAATAAACCACATTTTATGAGGCTTGATAAACATGCATAAGTCAGTCAGATCACATAAAAATATTCATAAACGAACATAAAAATTCAGGTCCATACAATTTTTGAAGAAAACAGCTATTCTAGCCAATTAACTTCATTCCAATAGAATGAGTGAATATAACATGACATATGTCATTAAATATGTTGCAAATAGGATAAATGGCAAGCGTGATGAAATTACTATTACAATCAATGATAGAAAGTTCACAACATCAAAAGCATTTGCATTTGGACTTAGTGGAAAAATTAGAAACGCCAATACTTTAAATAGAACCAAATGCCACTTTAAATTCAACATACCCATTAAAAATAGTCAAACTTACACAGTTTTCGAAAAAAATAGTTCATGGGCAAGAATTTCAGAATTTACTCACTGAAGGTATATTAAAAGATTTGTTTGGAATTGGTTTAAGAATAGATTCTGATGATCTTATTTCTTGGTATTTTAACAAAATTATAGCAACTCAAGACATAGTTAAATACTGTGATGATTTCTTTATATATTACAATAAGAAAGGATTTCCTGATGATTTCTTGAAGGAACTCTGTAATAATTTTTCTGATCTAAATATAGATAAATTGATCAAGTTGATGTCCGAATCAGGCTATGATTTATGTGAGAGGTTATTGAAGATATTCAAATCAAAGAATATTTCAACAAATGAGATAATTATCAGGCTATCCGAACATGAAAAATCATATATTCAATTAATGCAATATTTAGATTTTAAAACAATATCACTACATGGAATATTTAAAACGATTCACATTATCTTCGCATATGTTTATATTCCAGATGAATGGGATCAAGAAACAATTAAATTCATTGACTCATTTTTAATTCCCCAAATGGAATCTAGAATCAAATCATTTAACTTGGAACTTTCATTTTTTAATACCAAAACACCAACAATGATGCAAATAGTCAATTTCATTAAACAAAAATACTAATAGTAATTTCATGTTAAAGTACACCTGCCCTCATTTGACTTTGATGAATATTTCTGATAACTAGTTCTAAGAAATATTATGCTTTTTCAAAGCTCAAATTTTTGTCATTTTTTGAGCATCGATACACTCTAAAATCTCTTAACATATTTTGTGACTCAATTAAAAAGAAACTAACAATTATTAACTAATAATAACATACATAATTGTTTACAAATAAGAATAAAAATTAATATATATTACAAACAACATTTTCAAGATCTTCGAATTTGATTTGGAAACCGCGTAATGAATGATTTCCTTCAATGATTTCGCCTGAAAATTCTTCACAAAGATGCAAACAGTCATCAACAAACAAAATACTTCGATTGCAAACATAAAATGATGCAGATTCTGATTTTGATTGAGATGAAACAAAACTAAATACATATGGTTCTTCATCACGGATAACAATTTCACTAGAAATACTGCCACAAAAAACAACAAAATTGTCAAGATGATGGTTGCAAACTGAAATGTTAAGCAAATCTCGAATGAAAAACAGAGGAACACTTCGATCCGAGCCACGGAAAACAAATCGAAGAATTGATCCTTCAATGCCAATCAAATGAACGGTGGAATAGCACTGCATGATGTTGTGGATGCTCTTGAACACTTGTTCAATACTGCTGTTGTATTCTGTGTTGTTGTACTTGCAAACCATGAAATACCCTTGTGATTCACAACACGAAATATTACCTTCTTCGCAGTAAATCTTCGCAATCTCATGAGGAATGTGCTGTGAAAGCAAATTAACAATATCATTCTTGTCATCGTATTTATCATATAATATAACTCTCGTAATCTTCTTAAAAGAGACTTGTTTTTCGATAAACTTTTTGTTCTTTTTCGCCCAAAATGTTCTTTGATTTTTGGCATTCATAGGGAACATTTCTTCGTATTTTTGACCGATGATTTCTATTGGAGAAACTCCCAACATCTTCTCGCAATTACTTGATAAATTAAATATCAAATGACTGTCATTAGTTATTGTTAACTCCAATATATTATCAGATAGACTGTTGTTAACATCATTATCAATTTTCTTGTTCAAATCATCAATAAATCCAATTGGGAAATGGAAATACGAATTAAAAGCATCACAAACATTTTTCTCGAAATAATAAACACCAACTGTCATCAAACAAAGATAAATAATAACAGCAATAAGCCATGAAAAGAGTCCTGTGACAGAATTAAAGTTAACTGCATCAATTTCATCAATAATTGGTATCAAAGATCTTGCGTAAGTTGAAATGTTTTGGATCAAATTTTCTGATGAAAAATTCGATCGATAATTCATAGAAGTGTAATTCAAATACATTTCTTGAGGAAGAGAGTGTAAGTTCTCTATGTGTTCTTGTATTCCTCTAATTAACTTTAATGAACTATTCTGCTGAGAATTCAAAACAAAAATTGTATGCAAAACAATAGAAAATGAACAAACCCATGGCAAACCAATTAACAACAACAAAATCACTTTGTAGTTTTTGCTTTCATTTGAAACACTTTCTATTGTTTTGTTGACAATATCTAAACTCTCTATTTTCTCGGGTTCAAAAAGTTTCTTATCTAATTCGCTTTTATCAGACCAAACAGAGTTTTCTTCTTCATCATTTTCACTTTCTAAACTTGCACAAGAAGAAACAATTGGACTCCTCAATGCAAACTGTGATGGCCTTAACAATTGATCAGCACCAATAAAAGAAACAGTTAATTTAGCACCTCTTAAGTTAACATGATTATTTTTCGGCGAAGTTTTTTCAGAAATTGTCATTTCACTTGAATATTTCGCGACTTTTATTCTTCGGTCAATTGTTTTATCATTTTTCTTATCATCTTGATTTGCATTTTTATTTGTCAATAGAAGCTTTAACAGATCATAAGTTTCCAATGATTTTTTGAACAAAAGCAAACCTAGTCTTTCTTTACTTGCCAAGAAATTAATTGCTGTTTTTGGCAAATCTCTAAACATCATATTTGTTTTCCAGAAAACAGTGTTGAAAACTAAAAACATTGATATTAAAGCAACACTAAATAACCAAGCCATATTCACTTTTTGGAGTTCGTAAAAAGAAAAGTCTGTTGAAATTTTTCTGACATTAAATGAATAAGTCAAATAGTTTTCTCTCATTTTTTGTGCACTTATTCTCATTAATTTCGTGTGATCTAATATGTCATCGCATTTATTTGTTGCCACATAATGAGATATAAACGCAAGACATCTGATTCTGAATTGATAATCTTCTTTATAAGAAAACATATATTCATTAATAAAATCATAAACATCATTGTAAAACTCAGAACATTTGTCGTTTTCATCATTTATCTTTAAATCAATTTTATCATTTCTTCTCTCTTTTTTGTCATTGATTTTACCAATATATTTATTGAAAACTTGTTTTGAGTTGTCACTTTTTGTGATGTCTTGAATGATTTTATCGTTCAAATTTAGATTTTCATTGTTTTTATTTTTATTTTTGTCACTTTTTGTGATGTCCTGAATGACTTTATTATTTTTAGTAATATCAGTATTTTGTGAATAAATTTTATTGATATTTTCTGAGATTTTTGTGTTTTCTTTGTTTGATGGAGAATTTGTGTCACTTTTTGTGATGTCATGAATGACTTTGACACTTTTTGTATTTTCATTATTTACTCCAATGTTTTGTAATGAATCTTTGCCATTTTTATTGATGTTTTCTGAAAATTTTATGTCACTTTTTATGATGTTTTCATTTATAGTATTTTCTTTGTTTGGTGGTGAATTTCTGTCACTTTTTGTTATATTTTCATTTTTCTGATTATGTAAAATTGCTTTGATGATGAATGGCTGTAACATGACACCAGAAGCAATTTGTGATGTTAAGTTGTAGGTTGACAAAGCCGCCATCTTAACATTTGTCATTTTTTCTGTCATCATTATTGGATAATCCATTAATTTCTTGAAATAAAATCCCAACCAAATCATTCCAACAATTGGAGAGAAAACTATACCGTAAGGTTTAAAATAAGATACCTTCTGAACAAACATGGCTACAGGGCTATTCAAAGAGTTATCTTCTCTATAAATAGTCTTTTCTGAAACATGAAATCTCAAAGATGATGAATTTTCACTGTCACTTTTTTCACTTTTTGATTCTGCGTTTAATTCTTCGAAATATTTTGATAATGTTATAGGATAACTACTCCTCATTGCTATGAATATTTGGTCAGACACTTTTGATGGATTTTCTTTCAATTTTTGATACATTTTTGAAAATTTCACGTATTTAGAAGGTTCTCCCAATGCAATCAAACTTAATTCAGCCATCGCTTGATGTATATAATAATCTTTTTGATAAGCAAAGCGCAAAAGGTTTGCAAAATCTATAATCTCCATTCTAGGAATCGAAGCTTTCAACGCGTAAATAAAACTGCCAATTTTGTCACCTTTTGATTTTGCATCCCAAAACAAAGAAGAATAAACTAAATAAGTTGTATGCATTTTGTCAAGACTCGATATATATTTTTGCGGACAACTATCTTCTATAGACATAAATGCTTTCATGAAACAATAAAATTGGAATTCGTAATAAACAGAATCCCCTTTAAATTTTGACATCATTAATAATAATCTTTCTCTTTGATTCCTGAAAATTCCTAAGAACCTAACAACTTCTATCATTTCATCTGGATCTTGCTTCAATCTTAGATTCATGTAGTTCTCAAACTGTGTAATATCTGCGTCTGTTTCTGCTGCAATTCGCATAACTAAACAATTATTTATCGGTAGCCAAAAAGGAGGTTCATATTGTTCATTCAAAATCAAGTAAGCGTATTTTCTAAGGAATATCTGATACAAATAGTAAATAAATTTGTAACTAAAAAGTGAAATTGTGAGAACAATTGTAGGATTAAAAATTTTTTTGGGATGAAGATGCGCGAACATCACAAAGAAGTAAGAAAATAAAGGAGAATCAATTAAAACTGCACCGAACATTGAAGTATGTATACCTTTTGTAATTCTCTTAGTTAATACAATGAAAAAGTAAAATGGGACAGTGAAGAAAATGATCGTTTCGAGAATGTAATTGTATTTGTTGACTAATAGTACCTGAGTTGTTACCATTATAAACCTCATCCAAAATATTTTTTGATCTGTGTTGCTTGAAATACAATCGAGCATGGATCTGGTTAGATATATCTTTGAACGTATATAAATTGAAGCAATATAATCGTGGCATGCAAAGATGATAATAATTAGAGCAAAATTTAACGAATTTATGAGACAATTGAGATCAAGATTATTTACCATGTGGAGTACTTGATTGTTGAAATTATAGAACATATGAAGATGAGTAACTGGCTGAATAAATTCTAAATTAATTACATAAAAGTAAAGCTTGAATTTAGACACAAATTCACCCCTCTTAACTAAATATGCATCGCGAATGAATGAGTATGATAATAGTAATTCATAAATTAATGTAATTAACGAGGAATGAATAGAAAAATTGGTAAAATAATTCCATGAATTGAGCAAACCAGTGTTGTTTAGGATTCTCAAAACAGTTGGAGGTCGAGATGATAACTGATTTAAGGTGCAAGGATCTAAAACAAAAAAGATTATTTGGAAATAACGAAAAAATTTGCGTATCCATTTAAGCCAATAAGGTAATACTGCTCGATAGCGTAATTCATAACCAAATATGGAGAAATCACGAAGTAAATTTCGTAATTTCATATAGGTATTCGAATTAAACTCTCTTTCAAAATTAAATTTGAATTAACATTGAAATTATTTTTATAAAAACAATGTTGCTGGAAATAATACAATATATGATTTGTTTAATTTCAACAAACGATAATGTAAAAACGATACAATAGAAATTTTGGCAGAAAAGGGATGTAAATCATACTACAACAAATAGCAAAATTACCTATTCAATTTATTTGAAAATATTGTATGACGTTCAATACTGAATTATATTTTATCGAGGAATTAAATTAGTTACTTTTATGATAAATTTTCATAAATTATTTTTAACGACCATCTTTCAACCGTTTCTAATTTATTCGTTTTATAAAGCTGGAATTAATAATATTTTTATCTAAAATTTCGCTAATTTAAATAGCACTTTTTTCAATAAACATTGTAAAATTATGGTTCAATGTCATTTTAATCCTATCGATCCGATAATAGCGATTGTTAGATCTTGTGTTGTTTTATGATTAGTAGAATGGCGATTTGCTTATATTTCGCAAAATTTATCGCAATTCAGAGCTACAGATGATATTTTTTGCTACTTGCAATGTGGATCTACCGAGATTTAAAATTCAATCTTCGAGTACAGATACATGTATAAGTTTTATTAAAAAACATCAACAAAAAACAACAAAAATATTTTAGCAATAATGTCAGCCTATTGTTCAATAAGAGGCTGCATGCTAAGCTGAGACTTGCTTTGTGGAATCATCATTTTACCGGATTATTCTTCAGTACATCAATTGTGTATCTAAAATAATATCATTATCCTTATTCTGTTTTTTCCAAAATTCTTTTAAATATCTTTTTTGGTTAGATTACTTTATACTTTTTACTTTTATTTTTTAATTTCAAAAAAAATTTGGTGATTGTTCTATTCTGTTACAATGTGCATTATCATATTCTAATGAATTATTCATTACATACATTTAAAAAAACTTGTTAAAAATGAAATTAAAAAATTATGTTTATTATTACGCTGTGAATGTGTCAACAGCAGTCATGCCTGTATCTGTATCCAATATTTGCCACAACCTTTCTGTATCTGCATTTGTGTATTTCGGTTTCAGCTGATACATTTGATTTGGCGTGTAATTTGTTCCAGTTAATGGATTAATTGGGAGATCTTCATGCGGTGTGTTATTATTGTACTCCCAAATAAAGGCAGGAATAGCCTGAATGCTTTGGCAGCGCTCCAATGTCGGCCAGAATCTCTCAATCTTCCCATTTTGGTAGGGAGAATGAGAGTCTGTATGCTGCCATTGGACGCCCCAAAGATCAAGTAGATCTTGAAAGGCGCCCCTATTTTCTGAACCGTTGTCGGTCCAGAAACAATAGTTAGTATCTCTATCTTGGGTACGGCGGCACTGCGTTCCACCTTACCCAAGATAACGGTTTGACACTTTACGAAACCGGTAACGTATATTTTACAACACAACTATAACACCAACTTAACCTTAAATATTTACAAAACCATCTGACACATAAACGACTTCACTAACGAATTCACTACCGCCCTCACTAAATAAAAAATAACCTTATTTTTATTTTTTTTTAATTTTTTATTTCATTACAAAGACATGTCCGACTACATTTACTATGACTCTTTCCCAGAACGTTTCCGTGAACTATTCAAAACTCAAGTAAAACTGAGAAACATGCATTTTAACAAAGACAGACCCATTGACGATGAAAGAAACCCTGAATATATTACAATCCCATATGACGCAAAGTTCATTGCATACATTCCTTATGGTCGCAGAGGAACGAAAACTATTTCAACAAAGAACAAAAATTATTTCTGGAGCGATGAAGAAAATTGCCTTATCTACATAAATGCATACTTAAATAAAGCTACATATTGTACAAAAGAAGGTTGGACTGGATTTGAGCTCTACATATACGACGACGATGGAAACAGACGTTGTGTATACCCATACGATAATATGTACCATTGTTTTCATCAAGCATTAAACGAATACATAGTCAGTAAGGGTCTCATTCCTGTTGAGTAGATATGCTTTATTTTTGTTCCCACATTTATATAAAAATAAAATAAAAAATTAATGATATCACCACCCTCACACGTATGAAAAACATAGCACAAAAATAATGTTTATGTTAGAATGTTAGATCTAACACGTTTTCTAACCTCATTTCTAACCTTGTTGAATTCATTGCTTTATAACTCTCTTCCTTTCTCCAACTCTTCTAACTTCTTCTTAAGTTCAGCAATGTTGTCCTCATGAAGTTTAATCTTTCTCAAAATTCCTTCTTTATCTAATGGTTGCTTTATCTTTCTAAACTGAACTCTACCATCCTTCATAGTATGAATGTAAAAACCTTCTGGAATAGTTCCTGATTTAATGTATTCTACCAAAAACTTTTGTTTCATTGCTTCAGTGACTTTAGTCGTCATTTCAATCAAATAAAAATTTTAATATTAAATAAAAATAACGTTATTTTTTCAGTAAGGAAACGCAGGAGTTTTACGATTTATTTGAGGAGTAGGTTCTGGTTTAAATTTTGGAGTCGGTTTAGGAGTTGACTTTTGAACAGGAGTTTGTACTTCCATAGGTTCAGGAGTCATTGAAGGTGTTGTTTGTGAAGGCGTTGGTTTTGGCGAAGGTGTTGGAGTTTGTTTAACTTCAGCTATTTCAGTATTATTTACAACATTTGCTTTGTTTCTTTTCAACATCATAACTGCTCCTGCTGTAGCTAGCAAACCTAGTGGGAGACCATATCTTATATAAGGACTTGACCAAATGCTATTTTTGACAGGAGCTGGTGGAACACCTAACCTTGGTGAGACTGCTCTTTGCCATTGTGCAGCTCGTAAGAAATATTCAATAGGTGCTCCATAGTCGTTTGGTAAAGTTTGTTTCATAGATGGTGAAGGTTCACGAGAGCTCGATGAAGAACTCATTTATAAGATTTAAAAATAAATGTTCATCCTTTATTCCTCACTGTCGTCCGTGGCTAAGTTATAGTCATCTAATCTTATTATGGGGATGCCATTAGCACGCACCTGAATGGCAAAGCAACAATCCCTCATAAATCCAATAAGTGGCTTTGGTACGTTTTCAGTTGCTAGTTCAATAGGTCCTTTAACAGACAATTTGTATGTTATTGGAGCAGTAGATGTTTGACCTTGCTGGAAGCAAAAGTCCACTTCTGTTGGAAAACCACATAAGAAATGTGTGTTGTCATAGCTATCCCATTTATGTTCCACACTACCATCATCCACCAATGACCTCATAACATCTTCATTAAATCCTATCATATCATTGTTTGTATTGCAAGCGTTCGCAACCATTTCATAAAATACAGGTCCATATGATTTTTCAGGTTCTGCAGGCATATTTCCATAAGCTCCCATGGAAAGCTGAAGATATTTAAACTTAGGGTTCTCAAAATTAACATAATAGTTGTCTTTCTTTCTAAATAGTGCCCAAATACTTTTAACATTAATAGGCGTATAAGCTGCTGTAAATGTTGCACTTGAACTATCTGTATTCTTTGAGAATGAACCGTCCATAGGAATCCAATCCATAACTTTAACAGGAAAACATAAAGCCTCGTTTGTATAATGTTCTACAAGTTCTGTATAAATGTTAGGGTCTAAAGAGAATGACTTTGGATGAATGAAACATTCATTAAAATCCATCTTTGTTCGAAATAGTTGCTGGTTGTTGGTAATGTTCCACTAGCTTCTACTGCCTTCGTTATCATAGTGAATGGTTCATTCCATGGAACAAATTTATTTGTCGGTGGATTTGAATCTGAAGCAAATGCAACTTTAAGAGTTGGATTGAAAGCAATGATATCATTTACAGATATAGATGTGCATTGTAAGGCGTCGCTACTGAACTTTACTTTAAGCTGAATGTTTCCTGCAAAAGCTGGAATAAATCGAATAGCTTCTAATGGAAGGAATCTTCTAACAGGAATTCTTAAACAAAGCTTAAAATCAAATGATTTTCCTGCTGTAATTGGACCACTAACAATTTGTCCTGTTCTGCATGTTCCCGAATGACTCCATACATCTTCATGTCGAGTCTTTGAGAAAACATCTACTTTCTTTATTTGTTCGGTAGTTTGTGAGTTTGAAGTTATATATGCTTCTTCTCTTGCGTTGTCTTGAGAATATACGATACGACCATTTGCAAGGATTTGATATCCAGCAACTGCATAGAAAGCGTCATCGAAACCAATCCAAAATCCTGGTGGGTTTGTTTTATCGGAACCTGAACCAATTTCTTTATCTACAATAAATTGACCTTCCATTTTATACGTAATGAATGTATTGTAAAGGTCCAACATATTTTCACCAGGAGGTGAGAGATTGAATGTTACCCATGTGTTATCTTTAGCAGTTCCAGGTTGTGATGGAATCTTTGCGTCAGAATATTTTCTATTAGTGTCACCAATTTGAACTGCATTGTCTATGATATCGAAATATGAGCGAATCTGATGAATATGCTCTGCTGGAGTAAATTCGTTTAACTGTTCGTTCTGCATGTATTTACTTCGGATAAAAATATCTATTTACTTCATTATTCTCACTCTTCTTCTTGGCATTCGTGGTGGAAGTTGTTTCTTGACATTTTCAATGAACTGTACATTCTCTTTTGTCTCAACTTCTTTCACTGGCGGGTCAGGGTTCTTTGACTCGGTTTGCTTTTCAATGAAATTCACGAACTTTGCAATAAGCTCTTGGTTCGTTATTGAAAGAACATCTGGCTTCTTTTCTTCTGGTTCTATTGACTTTTCAGTTTGAACAGAAGGTTTTATATGGGCTTCGTGGACTTCATCCTTGCCATACACCTTAATGTTGTCGCTTTCTGCATTCGCTAATGGAACCTTTCTTTTTCTTACGTATATTTTACCATCTTTACTCTGACTTACGTAATAGAAAGGATGTTGTATTCCTCTTGCGTCATTTAATATAATAGACTCTCGCTCTGATTTTGACAAGCTCATTTTACATCGGTTAAAGTTTTAATTTTGTTTTTTATCTGCAGTCAAATGACTCAGACAAGTCATATGGACAAGACCCAAGGGGTCATAGATGTTGAAGCATTGAAGAAAGAAATTCGCGAGCAAATTTTATCCGAACTGAAGGAACAAAAACAAGAACAAAAGCCAGAGAGACCAAAGAGAAAACTTAGTGAAAAACAACTTGCTGCATTAGCTGCTGGAAGACAAAAGAACCCACGTTTGCTGGCGAAGAAAGCTAGAGAAGAAGCAAAAGCAAAGGAAGAACAAAAAGCTAAAGAAGCTGAAGCAAAGAAAGAGTAAATGGTTTATTTTTATCCGAATTAAATGTATAGACAAATACCTTTAACTGTTGCGTTCAGTAGTGAAAACCCTGACGTCAAAATAAAGGGGAACAGAGTAACGTTTAAGTTTCCAACAGACTGGATTGTGAACATAAATGAAGAGAAGTACATTGGCATAACATCTATGTATATAACACGTGCTTTCAGAAAGGTTGACTTTATACTTCAAGTCGAGATAGAAAATGACGAACAGTCTTTAAGCGCCCAAAACATTCACATATACAAATACTTTAAAGACGATACAATATTGTTGCAATGTATGATTTCATTTAATGAGATGTTCGAGAAAAAGTTCAACATTGAAGTACAAACTTTACAGCCTTTACGTGAGTTTCTTGCACAACTGAAAGAAGAAGGTAGTCAGCCACAACTTATAGACTTTCATTATGAATTTAATGAAAATGAAGATGGAACTCATGACTGTCAGTTTGTTATATATTCACCATTCAATGAAGTAGCTAAAGAGAAAGAAAATCCATTACGTATAAGGTTTCAAATCTCTGAACCCAATGAAGACTTCAAGAATGTTTTCAATTATGATGCAATGCTTCCGAGGAAAAATGAATTTTCAAAGATTGTAACACCAGGCATTTGGGATAGAAAGCAAGCTATATTATATTCAAACTTAAGTAAGGGAGTTGAAAATGAGTTCATTGGTCATACAAGAACTTCACCACTTCCTAACCCTAAATACTATAAATTAACTGGCTTCAATCGTGAGTTTTGGATAGACATGTTCTCCACTTATGACCATAACTGCCCAGTGTTCTTACCTCCAGACCATAAGGACTGTCTCTACATTGACGCACAACTCTTAAACTCTACCATCGCAGTATTGTAAATGACCACATGGGCTTCGCCTTGCCGCTAGCGGCTTATTTTTATCACGAATGACCTCATTGCTGACAAAAATAAATGACCTTATTATTTTTCTCATTCATGACCTCAGAACTTAAGCTTTCTTATGAATGAAGTCTTAGTCTGAATAGAAAAGTTAAACTTTTCAGCAAAGCAAGGAGTAGAAGACTTACATAAGTCAAATCCAATCTCTTGACCATCATGAAGTGCTTTGTAAAGTTTCATAACACTGAACTCAGAGTCTTTGTCAAATTTTCCTTGCGGAACCATTAAACCTTTATCTTCATTGTAATAGCATTGTATAGCTTCAGGAAACATTTCATTAGCTGTTAAAGCAAGGACGTCTTGTTTGACACCTTTGCAACGTGCATGGAATGCAACTTCATTTAAATCGTTAGTGAGTAAGTCTATGTAAGTCTTCTTTCCACAAAATATTGACTTGTATGCTAAACTTTGTTTTCCAGGTGTTATTTCTGCAAAGTCGCTATGAAATTGACCAAGGTTTTTACCAATGAGAACTCTTCCATAACGTTTCTCAAACTCTTCAGCTAAACGAGGGATATCTTCATTGTAGAGATGCATACTGTCGGTATCGCTATAAAAGATGTCCATTCCTAAGTCTTCAGCAGTACAGAATACTTCACACATTATTCTCTTCGACATAGATAGAATATTAACACCAAGTGGACAGAAGTTAAAGTGTCTGCAAATGCTTTTCGTTAGCTTGAAAATAGTTTTATCTGAACCATCCAAACCTTCGAATTTCACTATATGGTTGTAGTTTCTGATGGCATATCTTATAGCATCTTTGTCATCTACTATGGTTATTTTTGACTCAATAGGAGATAGAATAGTTTTGCCATAAATACTGTTCAGAATGAGCTTTATATTTTCTTGCAAAGGATTTCCTTCTTTCTTATACTTTAACCTTAACTCAAACAACTTCTTTACTTCATCTCTTATTCTAATATCTCTGTTTCCATCGTAATAGTATCCTTGCAACACTTCACATTTGACACCTTGATATTTTATGAGGTCTTGTAATGTTATATGGTCAACATACATTAAACAGCAAGTGTTTGAACTTCTGGGAACGTTAAGTTCTGGATTTAGTTCAGGGTCACAAACTATTAAAGGAAAGTGTCTATGTATTCCAATCTCTGTTATCTTAATGAGAACAAAGAAGCCAGACATAAACTTTTCACCAATGGGTTCCTTTTGGTCGTCGTTGAATAAATGTCTCATGAGATACTCTGTGCTTAACATCTCATCCTTCAATACTTTTGGAATTCCTTCTAAAGTATAAAGTCTTGCTATAGCGGATGGATATAATGAAACAGCGTCGAAGTCAGCAATGAGTTTCTTTTCGCTCTTTTGTTTCATGTTATCTGACAGCATACATCTTCCACCTTGAATGCATCTCGAAATAAATTCTCTTGGTTTATTTGAGAGGTCATAAAGATTTCCATTCGGGAAGTATACTCTGTTCTCAAACAATTTGTTAGCAATTGAACAAATACTAACGTAGTCATAAACGTTTAAATCAAATTCTTTCAATATGTCATTGCGGAACTTAACAAAACCTTCTCTTAAAATTCTTACATCTTGTTTGCAATAAAATGTGCTATATTTTTCTAAGTCGAAGTGGTTTTCATCTATTCTGCAACCTTTGATGGAATCTATGTTTTTCATGAATGTATCTGCATCCCGGATAAACTTACATGCTTCAGAAATGACACCAGTTCTGTTGTCATTTGCTAACAAAACACTGCTGTAGTAGTTATATGGAAATACTTCTTTCGGTCCTGTTTGTAAGTTAAACATAGCAGGAAATAGTTTAAGCTTCTTATTTATAACACTGTAAGAGTCTTTTATAATAATTGCCCTTCCTTTATATAAGCCAGTTATTTGCATTGTTCGTGAACCTTTAATGATGGAGTTCCTTTCACTTCTGTCATGTGTCTTAAGATGAAGTTTATATCATAACTGAGGTTATGGAAATATATTAAACTCTTGTCAGGAAGTCGTTCCAAAAATTCTGTTGCACAGTTTGACCCCAAATGCTTTCACTCACTGAACCATCTTCACTGTCATAACATATGTTAAAAGCTTTATGAAAGCCGTCTGTGCTACACTCAAAGTCAGCAAAGAAAACGTGCTCAGGAATGAACTTGCACTTATTTTTATTTACTTCTTTTGACTCGGCTTTCTTCTTCAGTTGTACACAATACTTTGGAGCATATGTCAAATCTTTAAATGGTGCAAGGTTCTGTTTATATAAGTCAGTCGTATATGTGAAAAGTTCTCCATAAGAAATAGGTTCGAAATATTTGCACTCCCACAATGTTTTCATAACATCCCATAGCGGTGTTGTTCTATCCATGCGAACTACATATTTATCTTCTCTCTTTGTATAAATCTTCATCTGTTTCTCAATGTTCATTCCACCACACTCCTTCAAGATTTCTATATAGTTGCGAATGAAATATGTTGTCATTGGTAATCTTTCATTTAGCATGTAGTGGTCTTCAACAAGAAGTAAGTCAATAGTTCGAACAGTTTCACATTCTTTTGGTATGTATCTCTTTATTTCATTATGTCTTGAGTCATTGAAGTAACCAATGGTAACATTAAATGCTATACCTGTTGCGTCAGAAATTTCTTGTACTTTACTTTGAGGAAAGTCTCTAACACGAATGACTTCTCTCATGTGGTCAATAGTTTCTTCATTTACTCCAGCCTGAATGCAAGCATAAACGAAACAATTGTCCTCTGTCATAAGTGTTGCAGTTCTTTTGTTCAGTTCATTGAAGATTTGGTAGCGCTCAAGATTTATAGGTAATGTGCAAAGATACTTCCAGAACTGACCGCTTCTCTTCTTATAAAACTTCTTTTCACCAAGGATTTCATTCCAGAAGTCATCTATATCTTGTTTATCTCCTGTTTGTTTAAGTCTGTTCAATAATCTTTTCTGTCTTTCTGTCAGTGTGCTTTCATCTCTATATGGTCTCTTTTTTGGTTTGCCTTTCTTTACATCTGACATCGTTAAGCCTTCATATTCAGTTAAATCATACATCTTTATTTCAGTAAGATTCTTTATGTTTGTCAAGAAGAAGTCATAGTGCATTTCAACAATACCTGCAGCATTTGCTTCTATCTCTGATATAAAGTTCTCCTTCAAGAGCTGATGTAGTAATGTTCCAATATTATTGAGGTTTAACGTAGAACATTCATACTTTCCACCAAGTTTATAACATACCATCCATCTCTGTTGTGAGTTTATTTTAATTTTCTCTAAGAGTCTCATGAAAACCTTACCGAAATGTTTGTGTAAGTAGTCTCTGTTTGGTTCATCTAAAGCTTCGATGTTAAAGTCAATGAGTCTATTGCCTGACTTCACATTTCTCTTCCTATTCTCTTCATCTTTCTTTAACCATCTCTCACCTTCTTTTGGTTTGTCGTCAATGGAACGAATGACATCGTTAGCTTTGCGAACTTGTTCTATAGCATTTTTAAACATCTCTCTTCTCTGTTGTTTCAGTGTGTCGTCTCTTCTTCTTGTTTCACCAACGTTCGCATTTGTTATGTCAAACATCTCACGCCTTACTTCATGAGGTATTGAACGTCTATGATATAAGTCAATAGCAACGTCATTTAAAGGAAAAGTTCTTGCATGGACTTCGTCCTCACCGCGTTGTGGCTTTATGAACTCATGAATTCTATCATAACTTATTTCACCATTGTAGTCATTGAGGATGTCAGCGAGTGCCTTTTTGTTTGTTGCGTAATGCTTTGCAACATCTATATTAGCTTCTGTAAGAAGTTGTTTTATTTCCGAGTGTTCTAACTTAGACAACTTCCGATACATCTTTAGTAGGAAATAAAAAAATATTTTTTGAAAAAATTAGATTAGATTTTTTTAAGTTATTTTTCAAAATAATTTAATATTTTTATTTTAATGAAACACATGCAAGATTGCAAGTTCTTTTCATACAATGCTCTCGCTACTGCCATCAAGAATGAGTTCAATAATGCTTCAAATGTTAATGTTATCTTTAACAAGAAGTTTGTGAAAGAATCTAAGTTTGGTCAGTATGTCAGACCATTAGCTATCGTCATTGACCGCAAACGTTATACTTCACAAGAGTTAGCAGTAGTTTTGAAACAAAAGAGTTTCTTCGTGAATGTCAAAGATACTCATTATACTGTCATAAAGAACTCTAATATTGACTTCTTCAGTATTGTTTTAGATTTATCGCAGCAGAAAGAATATAAGAAAGGTGAAACAAATGTGAAATATTATCCTTCATCTCTGAAGACAATAACGAACAAAGATGTTATACAGAAATTCTTACCAAAGGTTGAAGAAGCTTCTATTGACATTGACGAAGGAAGTGAAATGGTTGAAGAAATAGACCCTGAAGTTATTTAAGCAAAAATATATTTTTGAATAACTGAAAGTGTCACCACGTCACCATGTGCTACCAGGTTAATTAACTTCTTTTAAAAATGATGACAACATGACATTTTGACAACAGTCCAGGAAATAAATTTTATCGTTAATGTTTACGTTAATGTTTTTCATTAAATTTTGACAAAGTGCAAATCTTCACTTCGTCAAAAAGTTAATGTTTTTCATTAAATTTTGACAAAGTGCAAATCTTCACTTCGTCAAAAAGTTAATGTTTTTCATTGAAATCGGTAAGTTTTCATTAAATTTTGACAAAGTGCAAATCTTCACTTCGTCAAAAAGTTAATGTTTTTCATTGAAATCGGTAAGTTTTCATTAAATTTTGACAAAGTGCAAATCTTCACTTCGTCAAAAAGTTAATGTTTTTCATTGAAATCGGTAAGTTTTCATTCTTCCTCTTTGAAGTTATCGAAATATTCTGTTATTTTTTCCTTCAGTAATGGTAAGTCTTCTTTGAATGTAAGTATTGTGCAACCTTTGATGTCATAGTGTGTTTGAGGAAGAGTATTTTTGACAATTTCCTTTATTTGCTCATTCGGTGTCATTGAAATCGGTAAGTTTTCACGATAGAACCAGTTTCTGTCAGATTTGTAAATCTTAGCAAGGTCATAAAAGCTTTTGTTGTTTCTTCTGACTAAATGCAACATAACCATATCTCTGTCTTCTTCTTTCTCCAACTCTTCAGTATATATCATATACTTATAACTCTTTTCCTTTCCTTTTGGTACTGAACGCGGTATTCTTTTCTGTATGCTTTTGTCTTTGGATTCAATGACTTCATCTTTTGCTTGAAGTTTCTTTTCCATCTCTCCACGTTCTGCTTTATATAGTTCATCTAACATCATGAAAATATAACAAGCATAACGAGGTGAAGCCCACATTGCTACAGCATTTACTAAAAGTCTATGAACATAATAACCTTTCAAACCAGGAGCCAAATTCTTGCGATTTTCGTACGGAATCTCTTCTCTCGGTTTTCCGAGGGAAGCAATCATATGAGGAAATTCTTCTAAAAGTTCTTTTGTCTGTTGGTTTTCAAACCAATGATATGCTTGCTTTGTAGAACGAAGAGCATTCATTATACTTTGCATTTGGTACATGTCATCTTTGACTGAACGAATGAGACGTAACTGTTTGTTATACTGTATGTACTCGTATTCTTCATTAATGGCTTCATGAACGATAGCAGTTGTTGTGTTCTCTGATGTTGACATTACTGTCTTTACATACAAAATAAAAAAATAAATAAAAATAAAACTAACTTTATTTTTCTGTGTTAAAGAAATGTTAAAAATTCATGGTTACATATGTGAAAAGAAGTCACGAACAAATGAAGGTCATAAGATTCAGCACATAATTCTGAATTGAATGGTGTGTCATACATGTCAAACCGTCAAGAATTGAAGGAGATACGAGGCTATAAAGATTTTGGATATTTTCTGACACACACCCCGAGGGAAAAGTGACAAAACACAACGATAGAAAAGTGACAAAATGAGAGAAAGTTGTTCCCCGACCAAAATGCAATCATGTTGAAAAGTGACATTTGTAAAGTTGGACGATAGGATTTCCTGAAAAAGTGCAAGACTTGTCTTGAAAAAATACAAGACTTGTTCTGAAAAAGTGCGAGTCTTGTTCTGAATCAGGACAAGATTTGTCTTGAAAAAATACAAGACTTGTTCTGAAAAAATACAAGACTTGTCTTGAATCAGGACAAAACTTTACAAAATGTAAACTTTACATAACCGTTTCTATCGTACATGATATTTAGTTGACATTGTAAACTATCTTCATGTAAAGTATGGCGGTTTGAAACCGTCGGGAACCTTCACTTTTTTGACGAACTTTCCGCAGCAATTTTTAAAATGTGTGAAAACTCAACGGTTTGACACGTGCCATATGTCATTTTACTCAGAATTTTGTGCTGAATTCAGCAAAAATAATTTTTAGGTTAGATGGGTATATCTAACCTAATTTCTACCACGAATTCTACCCTTATTATTTATAACCATTTTACATGGTAAACGTTATTTTTGGAATTTTGTGAAAACTCAACGGTTTGACACATGCCATATGCCATTTTACTCAGAATCTCACGAATTCAGCAAAAATAAATGGTTCATTTACTCACAATATTTTTGTACAAAACGACCCCAAACTTTTAACTTCTTTTCTGCAGTTTCTAATGCTATCTTAGCGAGTTCATATTCTCTAAATTCTCTCTTTAAATCTTCTTGTTCCCATTGGTCTAGTTCGTATGGAGAATCTCTATAATCATAACATATCTCACGTTCATGTTCTAATTGTTTTTCATGCATTTTTCTAACTTCTTGTTCGAACAAAGGTTTAGCATTCTCTACTGTATCTTCGAGTTCTTCTTCATCTAATTTCTCATGAACTTTCTTGTCTATGGAGTCCATAATTTTTCCAACTGCTATGCAATATTTTGGAGAAGCCCACATTGCTATATAGTTTATAAGTCTTGGGTCTACATACGTTCCTCTAACCTGTTTGATTTCATCAGGAATTCCTGCATGAATTTTGTATAAAAAGCAACCGTCTGTATTCCGACGGTTGCTATATTCTTCACAAAACGCCTTATAATACTCTTCCCAGGACTTATTTTCCAACAACTTTCATGAGATAAATAAGAAATAACTTTCATTTTTCATTAGATAACTGTTATTTTTGACGAAGTGAAGATTTGCACTTCGTCAAAAAAACCCTGAAATCAAGAATTAATCCCGTCAAATACAAAAAATGAGGGTAGAAATGAGGTTAGATCTAACCATCTACCCTAAACATTATTTTTGGTCATGGACTTCGTCCTCGCCGCTTTGCGTCTTTATGTTAAAATAAATGGTACCATTAATAATACATGACTGTTCTCATTCATGTCTGATTTACATCTAATGAAAAAGTTTAGAAGAATTTTCTTATTCTTTCTGGCATATTTTTGTCTTTCCAGTACTCCCGCTCTAATGGTCCCAGATGTGTTGGCTTTGACTCTCTCAAGTTCTTAGATGGTATAACATCTTCAACACCTCCTTCATATCTTACTTTATAAGTGTCATCGTTTATGTTGTAGTCAAGTATTTCAATAACCACTCCTCGCTTTGCTTCGTCAATGGTTTCAGCAAGTTTGCCATTACTACTTTCAACTAATTTATGACGAGGATAAAACGCAATAGAGTCGTCGGCAGCTTTTATAAGATATCCATTACCTTGCGTAGAGTCTACGATATAATAATTTCGACTTAACCTTAAACGTTTCTTTGTCAACGGTTTGTCGTCAAGAACTACACGAACTTTTGTACCAGGAATGAGGGTAAATTGTGTTGAATTTCTGATATTTTGTGTTTGGCTTCGTTTCTTTTGTATATACTTTTCTTCTTGTTGTTGTGTCATTGAATTTGGTGTATGTCCTGTTGTAGAATGTGTTGAGGAATTATATACTTCGAGAAAATGTTTCATTGTTTCTTCGGTAAAGTCTCGCTCTTGATTTAAATCTCTGAGCGTTCTTATGAAGCGGTTTATGATGCCGAGTATGTTATGGTTATGGTCTTCAGTAGTGTAGTGAGTTATGTTATGCTTAATGAGAAAATCTGTGATTTCATTGCTGAGATATGCACTGTCTTGGTCTGATGTTAAAGTACTTGGGCTATGTTCTGCTACAAACTTTTGTAAAACTCTTAACACTTCACGAGTTCCTTTATTTTTCATTGGATATGCATATGCTTTACGAGTGTTAACATTAATGAAGATGAGGAATGGTTTATGTCCTCCTTTTCTGCTTTGAATGAGAGTGTCAAATTGGTATGCGTCAGGAGTGTTGGAGTAAATTGGTAAAAAGTAGTCGTAAGGGTTTATTTTTGTTTGATGTACAACATTTTTGTCAAAGAACCTTTTCACTTCAGCTCTGTTAGTAAATCCCCAACTCTTTGCAGCTTCATTGAATTTCTTAAATGACCTCCATGGATGTTGTTCGAATACTTCTTTCAAGCTCATTTATGTAAAGTTAAAGATTTTATTCAAGACGGTAAGCCCGCAAAGCAGGCTCAAGCGCGTTCATTGAACGCGGTACCATGCAAATACAGTCACAAATGGTGGCATGTAATCTGCACCCGAGCCTGTTGGATTTGTTGTGAAAGTATGGACATGATTTCCTCCTGGTTCAGTTGGTCGAAAAGTCTTTTTTGCTGAATTGTTATAAGATGGAGATAAAACGTCATGGCCAGCTTCATAGTCTGAGTTGTATAATGGGTGGTCTCTTAATGAGTGACTATGGTCGCCAGAAAAGTTTGTAGTTCCTGAATGAGTGTGCGGTGGAAGGTTTGCTTCTAAAATTTTCTTTGAACCACCTGTTTGCTTTGAAGAGTTAGCACAGTATAAGAATTTGTCTACAATCTGCTGCCATGTACCAAAACCCAGAACTGTTGCTGGATTTGTTGAGTTCATTGACGTATAAATAGAGCCTATAGGATATAATGTTTCAAGAATCTGAGTCTTTAATGTTTGAAGCTCTGTTTTGTCTGCTTTCTTGTCTAACATTGCGGGTAGTTCATATGCTTCAAAGTTTCTGGCATGATCTTCGATATTCCTGCAACTCTTATCTAAATTGTTAAGAGTATCTTTTACGCTTGTACTCGGATTCTCTAAAGGTGCACTTGAACCCAAATCATAGTTCAATATTATGTCGTCTGCTCTAACAGTAGTGAAGGATTTATGTGTATGATTTTTGTCGGCTTTACTGTCTAACATTGATGGTAGTTCATATGCTTCAAAGTTTCTGGCATGATCTTCGATATTCCTGCAACTCTTATCTAAATTGTTAAGAGTATCTTTTACGCTTGTACTCGGATTCTCTAAAGGTGCACTTGAACCCAAATCATAGTTCATTATTATGTCGTCTGCTCTAACAGTAGTGAAGGATTTATGTGTATGATTTTTGTCGGCTTTACTATTTAATGTAGCTTGAAGTTCATTTATATCGGAGATATTGTGTTTATGAGATTTCAAAACTTTGTTCGTTGCGTCAAGTTCATCTTTGTCGGCTCTACTTTTAATAGCATCTTCAAAAGTTATTTTTGCCTTAACTCTCAAAGTAAATCTTGGTTCAACTAATACACCGTTAACATTGAAAGTAGAGGCATAAATTTCATCGTTATAACTAAATGCTTCTAGCGCTTTACCTGTGTCATAATGTACAGTACAGCTTATGTCATAACCTTTAGCACGAATGTATTTATATCTTCTTTCATTAACATCTTCCGTCTTCACTTTTTCATCCTGTGTTAAATATCCATGGTAGTCCGTTATAATCTGTTCATCTGAAGTTATATAATGAACATGGTTTTTATCTGCTTTACTATTTAATGTAGCTTGAAGTTCATTTATATCGGAGATATTGTGTTTATGTTCTTTATCTGCTTTTTCGGCTAATTTCTCTTCTATCTCATTTATTTCAAGTTCATGCCTACCACCACCTCCCGAAGAAGTATTTTTCTTCAGCTCTTGAAGAACGTCCACTTCGCCATCTTTGGTGTCAATAATGAGACTTTGTGTTAAAACCTTTCCTGTCTTAATGGATGTTTGTAAAACTTCTTCTTCACCGTGTTCGGGGTCATGGTCGTCATCATATCTTGTGAAATCAGAGATGTTGTCATACATTAAGCATATCTGTCTCAAAAGTTCTGCTATTTGAAACTGGAACGAAAGATATACAGAACTTTCATCATCTCCTAAAGTCAAGTCTGCTTTCTTAAGTATTTCTTGAATGTATGCAATGAGAACAGAGTACCTTGGAAAATATTCGAACAATATTTCATTAGCTGTTGGTTTTGGTGGTTCTTCTGGAGTTTCTGCATCTCTTGACTTCAATGCTCTTGCTCTCAAAGACCTAAATGTTAGAGCACCAGGTTTTACAAAGGACTTTATAAATGCTTTAATAGTTCCTGGTAAGTTATTGTTAGCATTAAGTAAGTTCCTTATGCTTCCATCATGTACGTCCATAGCACTATGTAAAAAATCTATACTTTTCTTGTAGTCAGCAATAGACTGACTGTGATTTTTTAAAAGATTTGTCAATACCTTTAAGCCAATCTTCATGCATGTCTGATACTGAGCCAAGAATATCATTTGCTTCCTTTAGTGTATTTTGTGCTTCTCGTAAAGTATCCAATCCCGTACGTGCATTGTTTGCTATACGTCTTACAGTATCTATTTGACTCCTTGTTTCTTGCATCCAACCAGATAAAGTTTTAATAGTATCCGAACCATTTGAAATGAAGTTCAAAGCATTTTTAACGTCATCTAAAGCTTCTTCACCAAGTACTGCCCATATCTTTCCGATTTGGTATTGAAGAACTCCATATGAAGCAGCTGTTAAACCAGTATTTATAAGGTCCCATATCCATGATTTAGCAGTTTTTCCATCCTTTCCATCCTTTCCATCCTTTCCATCCAAACCGTTTTCGCCTTGAGGTCCTTGTATTCCTTGTATTCCTTGTATTCCTTGTGGTCCGGTGTCACCCTTCTCTCCTTTCAGTTCATCTTTATGTTCGTTATAATATTCTAATGTCATAAGGTGTACATCATTACTGCTACCAGCAACGCCGAGAATTTGTTTCTCATTCATGACTAAATTCTTTAGGCATTTAATGTTGTCGTCAAATCGAAAGCTCTTTAACAATTCAATGAGAACATTCAGTACTTTCACTAATGAGGCATCTACTGTAGAATTTATATATTGCACCGTTCCATCATTTATGATGGGAACCTTGCTTGTTGTAATGAATGGGTCATAAGTGTTAAAAGTATCGAAATCAATGACTTTTTTAGTTTTTCCATCGTCAATGACTAAATCATTGCCTTCAATGGTTAAAGTTGAGTTTTCGTTTACTAGTTCATGTGCTCTTCTTGCTTCATTTGTTTCATACGCATATGCAGCAATAGTCATATTTTAATGAGAATAAAATGTTGTTCTATTTGCAAAGTACAGACCCAAACGAATACGGGACAGTAAAGCTACAAACAAACTTAGGTCTTCAGAATGAGGCGCTTGCATTCAGAATGGTTGACTTTAATACTATTGCTTCATTCGTTATAACTGACGAAACAGATTTCATGGAGTTTGAAATAGATGGAAAGAAGCACGAAATAAGATTTCACAATAATGTAGAATATAAGATGGAAACATTAGCTGGAGTGTTAAATGCGCTCATAAATACTACAATAAACAAGGAGAACGAAGAAAACTTAATGAATGTTAAACTTATTGCAGGAGTTTTGAAGTTCAGTTATGCGAAGGAGTTTAAGATAACACGAATGAGTCATAGAGTACAACTTCTTTTGGGTGCATACCATATGACATTTCCTTTGAAAAGTGTTGACAAAACGATTGAGATGAAATCTGTTCCATACGTATGTTATGGTAATTGTTTGTACATTGAGTCTAAAATAGCTAATGTCACAGGCATTTCAGGAGTTAATAGTAAAGGTTCAGTAGAATATAAATCCTTCTGTTATGCAGTCAATTCAATGTTCATTCCAAACGTTCCTGTCATAGCAACTCATTTAGGTAAATGGGTTCGCATTAGTCCTCATAATTTGAAAGACATGCAATTCAGACTTGTTGACTTTCAAGGAGAGCCTGTAGAACTGAAGGCACCAGTGCGAATGACTGTTGAAGTTGACTTTTTAGAAAATATTAAATGCAACAGCTTACAAGAGAACTCAGAGCTAAAAATATAAAGTATGAATGTTATGTATTAGGTCATGAACTTTGGTTGTTGCTGTTTGATGAAACAAATGAGTTAGTTATGTCAGTCAAGAGAACAGAAAAATATTGTGTTAGTGAAAACTGCACCAAGTCAATAAGATTAGGTTTGCATTATGAAGATGAGTTCGATACTGTTGAAGAAGTTTTGGATAGATATTACAAATTGCTAACTTGAAATTTTTGACTGACGGCGCAAAGCGCCAAGACCGAAGGTCCTGACTGCTTTAATTTACTAAAACATATTTCAAACAAAGCTTATATTCTGTTGAAAGTTTTGTATATTCATTCGAATATTTATACTTAAACTCAACTCCTGTAGTTCCTGGTGTTTCAATGATGCGGATGTTACCTATTTTCATGAATAGTGGAGTTTGACCACAGCATTCGATTTCAGGGTCGAGATAGTCAATGACACATTGCTTTCCTGTTATTCGTGATATAACATTTTCAAGGTCCTCCTTTGTTAGAATTATTTGGTTCTTGCTTATAAGATTTACCAAAAGCTTCTTATCGTCTTTGAGTAAAATTGTTTGGTATAACTGAAGAAGGTAATGGTCTACGTTATCTGAAGGATTTGTTTGAACATTTGTGTAAGGGTTGTCGTTGGCTTCTCTTGAAAGAACTTGGTCCAGTGGTGGATACTCTAACTTAACATCTGATGTAGCGTTAGCGTTTGAAGCTGTGTTTAAATTCACGGCGCCATGCGCCAAGACCGAAGGTCCCGACTTAAGATCTGGTTCTTTTTCTTTCAAACACTCCGAACTATAGTTCTTTATGACAATATTGTTTGTCGTTCGTGAGTCAACATTTGATGTTGGTTCAATTGGAACATTAACGGCACCAGCTAAGATGGATTTGCTTCTCATTTCATATAGAATAAAAACCTTTTATATATGGCATTCCAAACGGGAACCGCGGTTGGTTACCATGGATTTCCGTCACCGGTCACATTTTAAAGATTTTTAAAGCCTTATAAAAATATGCTTTGTAAATCATTTTTTGTAAATCGGCAAAAATTTGGTAATTTTCTTCAACTAATAAATCTGCGAATAGCATTTATAATACAAGAACAATCTTTTAAAATGCGTTTGATTCATTTTTGTATAATTTCATATAGGCACATATATTCTTCCGGGACTTTCCGTGATTTTACCGTAAAATCATTAGTTTACACCAATTTTTCCGTATTTTGAATAGTTTACTGCACTTTTTCCGTAAAATTGAGTTACGGGAATCCGCAAAATTTCCGGACCTCATTTTTCATAGAATATAATAATAATATTTGATAAAAAGATATATTATTTATATTTTTGATTTTTGAATTACGGAAAAAGTGAATTGTTAACTTGATTTTTTTATATGGTTAATTTTTCAAATGATATTATGAAGATCTAAAATATTAAAAGTAAAAAATTGAATTACGGAAAAAGTGAGGTCAAAAGTGAAATAAATTTGCAGAACAATTTTCATTGAAATAAGACATTGAGTATCACACTTTAGTGAATCAACATCTATAAGAATGAAGTGTTTTGAAGCTGAAATAATATTGAATAGAAATTAATTTTTTCTGAAATTTTGAATGAAATTATGGGAAATAAAAAAATTACTAAATATTGTATTCATACAAATATATTATTTTAAAGGAAAAATAGATGCTGATAGAAACGATGAAAAATTTTGAAAACTTTACAATTAATTTATGTTCGTTAACCACAGAGCTTGCAATCCAAAGCTCACGTTAGACTACAAGAGTCATGAAGTCTCATACTAAGGGATATCCAACATATATTTTAATAATCTAATGTTTGTGACAAATATTCAACATAAAATTAAGTTTTCGTTTCGTTACAAGGCATTCATACTTTGGAGATATCATATTTAATGTACAGAAAAGTTAATATTAAACAATACATGCTAAAGAATTAATAAATAATAATAAAATAAATTTATACGTAATTACTTTCATTTTATCTTTTATGCTGTATAATATTGATTAAGAGGCATTAAAAGGTTCCATAGTCTGCTTTTATAGGCAAGATTTTTGATAAAAATTTAAAATTTTGAAAAATGATGAGAAAAGGAAAAAAAAGGTAAATGAGAGCAAGAGGAGGGAAAAAAAAGAAAAAGAAAAGAAAGGGAAGGGAAAAATAAAAGAAAGAAGGACATATAAAAATTTAGATGCGCATTCTTAATGCCGAGGCGGCTTGCCGCCGAGGCGCGATTTTTTTAGGCCTCTACGGTAACCCGGCAATGTTTTTTTAAATCTTGTACAGCCCTACTTTTATATGTA